AGGGATGTAGCCTACAGATTTATGGATATATATCATAGATAGATCCATAGATCCATGTCAACCTATGATATATAGATAAATTTGTGCTGAATTAATTGTGTAAAACAGACTCTCCCAGCCAGTTACAGTTAGCCCCACCCATGGGATACAGTGTAACCTATCACTCCCGCCACCTCTTGGTGCAATAGTATAAGAAAGGTAAGTTCTAGAAAAACAACAGCTGTTCATGTGTAGCAGAGATGCGCATATTGTTAGAATAAAACAAAACATCCAGCACAAACTAAAATGTGTCATGTTGTACCCCTGCTCTCCCTTACGCACAATCCGTTGCGCAATTTGATAACAGAGGTCATTACACCGCTGTCTGTCTGTCTGTCGGTCTGTCGTAACGAGGATGATGAAACAGGTCAGCTGACTGGTGACGTAGCAGCGGGAGTAACTTCACTGAGAGGAAGCACGTTGGTGAGATACTTGTGAAAGAGCCGGCAAGAGCACAAAAGCTCAGGAATTGAGTCTCAAGAAGTCGACTGAATACAAAACAAAAGAAGGTAAGAAGCTGATAATCAAAATGTGAAGCTGTTTTGTTGGTTGTTTTTAACGTAGTGTCTTTTTATGAGGCTTAAATCTGTGTGTGCCGGTTCCTTTGGTGTGCAACGTGGTCTACAGCCGGTGTTCTCCTGTTTCCGGAGAAGACACCGTTCATTTTTAACCCAGAAGAAGAGTCTCTTTTTTTGTTGTATAAATGTCTACAAATCATTTATATTGTTTGTTTTTACATAGCGCATATAGATTACCTAATGTTGCTATATTACATGTATTACCACATATATTACATATAGTTGAGGTAGGCCTTTTACCGTAAATGACCGTTCATTCACATGTTACTGTTTGAATTCATTATATCACAGTTATACTAAACGTTTATAGTTGCTTCTTTTGTTTTACCATAGAAACTGTTTTTCAAAGTAAAGTTACCTAAGTCAGTTTTGTAACAATGCCCACGACAGTAGTTGCGCAACATAAAAGTGAACTCCCCCTTGTGGCGGAGTGAGGAATTACTTCTTTTAAAAATGTATTTTATGAAACAAAAGCAGATTAGGGAAATATCACAACATGTTTAATTTTACAGTGGGGATTATTTTTGATACTAATGTATTAAACAAAGCAATTAAGTCAAATTTTTCGATTTGTGTATGGTTTTTTTTCCCTCTTTATAGAAATCATGCCTGCAGATATTGCCAAGGGAAAGAAGGCTTTCGTCCAGAAATGTGCCCAGTGTCACACTGTGGAGGAAAATGGAAAGCACAAGGTCGGGCCTAACCTTTGGGGTCTGTTTGGACGCAAAACAGGCCAGGCAGAGGGCTACTCCTATACTGACGCCAACAAAAGCAAAGGTAAATACTGTACACATGTATTTACAGCATACCTTAAAACTTCAATTAATAGCACGGGCTATTATTTGCTTAAATCACTGAACTCAACAGGCCTATATATGGGACAGGCTTTTAATTCCTTTCACATTGAACTGTTGCTCAGCAAGATGGGACATACTATCAAGTTGTCTATTTAAACTAGTCTGAATATTACTTGTATGAAAATCACACCTAAATAAGGTTTCAGTTGTGAATCATTCATTTGATGTATCTCTGAGAGACAGTACCTGGCATACCGACACAAAAGCATTTTATCCTGTTCAAGCAATACTAACAACTTGGGATTATTTTTGATGATTTAACCGTTCTGAGTCTTTTGATCAGTCGACCCTTATCGACTAAAGGAATATGATTAACTTAACGGGTAATCAAGGAATGGACACATATTCTGACTTAATGACTTAGGTCAGGTGGATAGCCAACAACCCTGTGTCATACAAGAACTTCTATAAAAATGAACTGCTTGGCAACAAAACAAGGCATCTAAGTGAAACAGGCCTTTATTATCAAAATGTGTAGCCACGCCAGGCCTGTAAAAGGGACTGGCCTTTTTAATTGAACCTAGGCTTTTAATTGAAGTGTTACGGTAGTCCAAGGAATCATGCTGTACGGCTTTTAAACTCCACTGTGTGTGCTCACTTTGATTTCAGGCATCACCTGGAATGAAGACACCCTGATGATTTACTTGGAGAACCCCAAGAAGTACATTCCAGGAACAAAGATGATCTTCGCCGGCATCAAGAAGAAGGGCGAACGAGCTGATCTCGTAGCATATCTGAAGTCTGCAACTTCATAAAGAACTCTTCATCTGCGCATCTTTTGCCATCTTTGTGTCCTTACAAACTGATAAGAGGCCAGGAGTTGTCGGTTGTTCAAAATCAGGCATAGCGGCAAGAATTCTCTGACTGATATTAGCGTGATAAGCTGCCGCATTTTATCACAGCTGTACCTCTGTTTCTGATATGATCCTCCTTTATGATGGAGTAAGTGCTATCCCCTGGTTTTAACAGGATCCTTTTCTAACATAAATTATTAAACCATATACTGTGTTGTCAGAATGTAGGGACTGAAAGCTGTGTATTGTATTAGCTTATTGTCTAATTGTCATCTTTTTTTCCTTAGTACCTTGTTGATTAATAATCAAGTTGTCTTAATTGTCTTTGAAGAAGGAATATGCCTTATCTGCTTCCAAACTGGTGATACCTCAACAGTTTTTATGATGTCATTTTTTGAATTTGACGGTGAATAAATTTGACACTAAACATTAATCTTTTGTAATCTGTTTGACTCAGTGAGTTCCTATAAGTAAACATGTGGTCTGTATTAGGTTTCTCATGAAATGAGGAGCAAATACAGGGTGTAGATGATCATGTAAGGCTTTAATTATGTTCTTGTCTTGGCAGTTGTGGCTCATGTAGATTTGTAAGGCAAATTAGAGCAATACGACTGCGTGTTTGACATATGCCACAGGGGGAAGGAGTATTTTGGGTCTAAATGAAGTGACTTAAAATTTGTAGCTTTGAAGAGTGTATTTGAATCTGAAAGCTGGAATGAAAGTCACATATGCTGCACATTTTTGAGAACGTTGGTTATACTTACAGGTGCCTCAGTAAGAGTTGCAGAAGACTCCATGTTGGGTTACAGATGTTGACTGACAGTTACTGGGTGCATTTGTTGGGAAACTAGGTAGACAAAGGGTGGTACTGTAAAAAAAAAAAAAAAAAAGTGGTTTTAACTTTGTGTTATAAGCTAGTAGTACATGGCTTTCCAATCTAGACAGTGTTATTCAAACTTTGCCATAGTTCTTTCCTTTTTTTAAATATCCAGTTCTATAAGAGTATGAAGGTATTGACATTATATGAGAGTACAGATGTATGTCTACAAAGATATTTAAAGTAGTTGTGTATGTTTTTACATCTGTGTGTGTAGGTGTATGTATATATACATTTAGGAAGCACAAGTGATTGTGAATCAGTTTCAGCTGCTTTGGTGTAAATGAAAGTGACAACAGGTGCAATGGAGAGGCAAAAACAAGACAACCCCCAAAACAGGAATGGTTTTACATGTGGTGGCCACAGACAGTTGCTCTCTCCTTATCCTTCCTGACTGATTCTTCTCTAGTTTTGTGTTCTGCTAGTGTACTTGTCACGACTGGTAGCATGAGGCGGCACCTGCAGCCTAATCAGGTTGCACAGGTAGTTCAGCTCCTCCAGGATGGCACATTCATACATGTGGTCGCAAGAAGGTTTGCTGTGTCACCCAGCATAGTCTCAAGAGCATGGAGGAGACACTAGGAGACTGGCCGTTACACGAGGAGAGCTGGACAGCAACCCAGCAGCAGGACCGGTATTTGCTCCTTTGTGCGAGGAAGAACAGGAGGAGCACTGCCAGAGTCCTTCAAAATGACCTCCAGCAGGATATTGGTGTGCATGTTTCTGACCAAACTGTCAGAAACATAATCTATCCCTAAGTGGGTTGATCATTTTGGTTTCCACTGACCGTTCTTCATCTGTTCCTAAAAAATTATAACGTACATCAGTAAAAATTTCCAACTTGAATAACTGGTTCATCAAAATCTGATGTGTCGTTTAGGTGTTGCTTTCATTTTTTTGAGCAGTGTATGTGACTCATTGACCCAACCTGTTATTTTTGGAGCAATTTATTTCTCTATGATTGTCGGTGCTTCTTTATCTGTCTTTTTTTGTATTTCATTCTATAGCACATATGAGTCTATAAAAATAAATTTCTAAAATATCCAGTTCTAGTTTAAATTTAAAGCAATCACGGGACAAGGGGTGTCCATGTTAAGAGACAGCACCTGAGGCTGCTGTATCCACCAGTGTGGCTCTGTATCCAGTATATTCCCAGTCCAAGCTGTGGAGTATACCTCCCTCTAGCGTTCAGATGTCACACTCGCACTCTGATCCACTAATAAAATTGTATAAAGGAATTTGATTTTCTGACATCCCCCTCCTGCCAATAAAAGTCGCTGCTCCATAATTAAATTTTGAAGATGAACCGCTGCAGACTCCACATTTGCCAGAGTTTGTGGCTTGTGAAACAGATGTATTGTCGACTTGCAGTTATGCTATGAAACGCATTGTTCTGCAGGCGACAGTCATTCAGTTTGATTGCTCTTGTCAGCATGCAGTGCCATCAGCAAAGCCTCGTCTGGGGTTGCATGGGAATACATCATGCATGGCGCTATGAAGCATAATTTCATTAAATTATAATCCATCCACAACATGAGGGTCTTTTGCTTTTCAGCATTATAGAGCACTGAGTTATTGCTGAAAGTAATGATCATCTATGAGCAAACATCCACCTCTGTAATCCACCAGTTTTACATCTTTATGTACTGCATCATAACCTATATTTCCCTGATTCTCATCATCCTCAGCATCATCATCCTCATCATACTTGGAGCCTCTCTAAGGAGGGCACGCGGTTCAAACGGCCAGAGGGCTGACTGCTGAAGCAACCCTGAGCTCCTGTCTGTGTGACGAAGCGAGCGTCAGCGGGACCGAGCCAACCACAGCCAGCGTCATTTGCACACAAGAAGACCTATACGACGGGGATGCTCGGCTCTCTGTGAGATTTCCAATGCTTGTGATAGTCTCAGCCTCACTGTCCTTTGCTTAGACCTGCTATAATGTTCTTACATTAATACATATGGAGATGCTGTGGAGGAATATGCTGGTGCGCAAAGGGAGTCTCCATCCTTCTCCCCACAGAGTGGAAACTGGATATGTGGCCAGGGCTCCAGGGGTGTTCCCAGCGTAATGCATCTTGGAAGTTATCAGCCGATTCTCTACTTTAACCCTCAGTAAAAGCCTCATAGATGATATTTCTCTGCGCGACTCCATGGATGTGGTTCACTGAGGACCATCTGAAGAACAGGCATGGCAGTGTCAACTATGGTGTTCTCTGACGTGGAAAGTTTTCTGGACGCGCATCCCGAGTTATTCGAGGACTACCTGAACAGAAAGGGGAATTATAGCATGGTGGAGAAATGGCTCAAGAACCACAAGGCGAGCAAAAGTCCGGCGGCTGCGGGTCCCGCCGAGCCGAGAGAGGAGAAGGGCAGCGCGTGTAAGGACAGCTGGGCAAGCAAATGTGACGGTCTGCAGAGGAGAGCCTCGCAGAAGGAGCTGCGCAAAACTTTCGCCAAATCAAAGGCCATCAATGTCAACAGGACATACGACGAACATGTGAACTCCAGGGCTCAGGAGCCCCTGACCAGCATGAGGAGGAGAGCTCTGCTGAGGAAGGCGAGCTCTCTGCCCCCGACCACTGCGCACATACTGAGCGCACTGCTGGAGTCCAGAGTCAACATCCCCCAGTACCCGTCCACAGCCGTGGATTTTAAATATTACCTCAAAGAACACAACGAAAGAGAGTTTTTCCTGGAGCTTGTAAAAGAAATATCCAACGACTTGGATCTAACGAGTCTCAGCTACAAAATCCTTGTGTTTGTTTGTATTATGGTGGATGCAGACCGGTGCTCCTTGTTTTTAGTGGAGGGGACGGGCAACAAGAAGACACTAGTGTCCAAATTCTTTGACGTGCACGCAGGTACTACAGTTTTACCCTCCATGAATTCAGATGAAGTTCAAGTGCCGTGGGGGAAAGGCATCATTGGATATGTGGCTGAACACGGAGAGACAGTGAACATTCCTGACGCTTATCAGGTGCCTGCTCCTCTTTGTGCATGCATGCATGCGTGTGTGCATTTGCATGAGTCACAGAAACAGAGAAGACAAACAGACAGGGAGACATATCTGACGTTTGTCTGTCACTGTTAATTGATCATCAATCACAGAGTGTAACAGAGCTGAGAGCAACAGTCAGCTGGACCAAGCCTGTGTCAATGCACAGATTCATACAAAGCATCACAGAGTAATAAAACATAAGGCAATAAAGGAGAGGTATCATTCTCTCTGTTGCTTTTGCAAACTCCACTGTGTTTAGCTTGACTTAAAGTAGCCTGTGTAAGACAATACTAGATTACATTATAGCTGCAAGGACACCAAACTGCTTCATGGTGCCAGTGGCCTGTAGGAAGAAGTGTAAGCACACCTCTTCTTACTTGGCCAAATATTTACAGAAGAAAGAAGTAATAGAAATTAAGAGTTAGTCCAAACACAGCAGGCATCAAAGTACCACCTCTAAGTTTGCCTATTTTGTTACCCTTATTGTAGACTTTCTGTTTGTAAGACACAGAGTCCTAATGAGTGGGGTTAATCCAATACCAATACCAGTATCTGAAATACCTCTGATACTGCCTAAAATGCTGGACCGGGTATCGGCAAATACACAAGTCTATGTACTAATCCGATACCACAAATAAACTTTAAAGCAGTTTCACACTAATTAAACGTCAGTTTTCCAAGAAATCATTTCTTCCTCACTGCTCTAAAACAGTAACCTACACAGCAAGTTGCAATTTGCCGCCACTGGTATCTACTGTTTTAGAGCGGCGAAGAAGAATCGATTTCCGTTGAACAGTGAAACGTTAGGTGTTAGCAAAATGTTGGCAATATTTTACCAAAGAAAGTTTAATGGCAGCTATTTCTGTATATATTTATTCATGTTTTATAAAGGGTTTAACCTGAGCCATACAACAGTGATAGAAATCTTTCACATCCAAACAGGGTTCGTAGTGTACAGCTGCTTTTTTTATATAGTGGTATCGGCTCTGTAATCAGCATCGGCCGATAGCAGAGTTCAAATATCGCAATGAAGGAAAGAACGGTATCGAAACCATCTCTTCTGATGAGCAGAAGAGAACATTTGAACATCCAGAACATTTGCACTGTCATCTCAAAGACAAAAGTAAAATATGTATTTCTTTGCACTAAGTTCTTACATTGTGTCTTTAACTTTTAACTGTCCCCGTGGTCTTCAGGATCGTCGGTTCAGTGATGAAATCGACAAGCTGACAGGGTACAAAACCAAGTCCCTCTTGTGCATGCCCATTCGCAACAGCGACGGAGAGATCATTGGAGTCGCTCAGGGCATCAACAAGACTTCAAGTGGAGAACTCTTCACTGAAGATGATGAAAAGGTAATTTCATTATTATAGCTGTGAGCATAAATGCTGGGTGAGGATCACGCGCTGTCATAACACAATATGTGTCCCGCTGCGTGCTTGGCATGTGCAGGATAGATCAAGATAATTGTGTTTTATATGTCGTCGTGACTTACAAGTGGTTTTTGATGTCTCAGTCCTTGTGTCCAAAATGTTTTCTGCACATGTTAAAGGTAGACTTTCATCTTCATCTTTGTATGTCTGAATCAAAGAACTTTATCAGGCACAAATGGATAAGAATAACATTTGGGGCAGGCTTAGTTCAGGCTGTTTCTCATTTGTGTATAAATAGAATTGCGACTTATGATGTGTGATGTTTATTTATTTGGATAAATAAATGAAAAGATGGATGACATCACACCTTTATAAAGCTTTAATACCAGTGATTTATTTGAAGAAGCCAGTAACTATGGTTCTGAGGCAGTAGTGTACTTTGGTCACAATTATTAGCCATATTTGGAGGGGTAGCAATGGTGGTTGGCTTGTCCACAGAGCAAAGACATCTTTTGCAGACATCCTAACAGTGGTGGAAGAAGTATTCAAATCCTTTACTTAAATGAAAGTACTAATACAACACTGTAAAAGCACTCTGTTGCAAGTAAAAGTCTTGCCTTGAAATTGTAAATGAACTGTTAGCGCTGTTAGCTTAGCCACCTCCATGTTGAGAACTGTGTGCAGACATTTCTCCACAGAGCCCCTTTATGCAATAGCTTTGGCTCTACCTTGACCTTTTTTTTTTTATTTTAGCGCCATCATCTGGTCAGAGTTTAAAGCTGTCCAATATTTTTGGTATATGAGCAAATACCTGCGAAACTACGGACATTCCCATCAGCCTAGCTAGAGAATGCTAGCATGCTAACATGCTAAAGTAAGACATGAACATGGTAAAGATAACCTGCTAACCATCGGCATGTTAACCCTGTCATAAGCATGATGTCATGCTGACATTAGCAGAGCTGCTACTGTGGCTTTAGACTGCTGTTATTATTTTAGCACAGTGGAGTGTAGTGCAGAGGAAAGAACAAGCCTGAAGTAAAATGCTCATAGGCTTCATGATTCATGTGTGGCATTTCAGGGATGTTTTTTTTTTTTAGGCAAATACTGTTATGTGGTGTTAGAGGTACACAAACATAGCAGGGCTGTAGTGCTGTCATTTTGCTTTGCAGTCAATGTTGTTATACTCATGAGTTTGCAGTAGCAGATATATTAAAAAGATGGATTTTGTGAATTAAAAATGGGATTTTTTTTTACACATTTTGTGCCGTCTGTATGTTATTTGCATTGTACCTGCAAGCACTGAGCGTGCTATGGAACATTTCATCCACTGTTGGGAGATTCATCAGTTAGGGGAACCTTTTTTGTGGCCTGATGCTCAAACTGACTTTTTGTGTTCTATCTACTTCGTTTCTGATTTTCTGAACAAATGGAGATGTGGGTGCTATCTACATCACATATTGTCTTTGGAGTTTGAATGTAGCGCATGCTAGGCTTTTACATCTGTCCGTTCTTAATATTTCACAAGCAAGACTAACTTTATATCTGTTGTGTGATTAACAGCAAGGAATGTTTGCTTCTGTTTGTTTCTGTGTCTAAACTAAAAGCTCAATCTGCCTTGTAGCATATTTGCCCTGAGTACGAGTCTCAGTTCTAAGTATCTAGCTAGGTGAGAGCTTGTCTCTCAGCATCATCACATATTTCTGAGCAGTGTTGTGTCACCAAAAACTTTATACACCATACAGTATAAGCTGTTCAGAGTCTCCGACTAGTTAGTGCTTTACTTCTGCGCACAGTGGAACAGCCTGAGTAACAGCCTTTGAGTTTAGCATCACCATTTAGATTTCAACATTTTGTGATTTTAAAAGGAGTTCAGACCAGTAAAATAGGAGTTTAGGGTAACGTAACTGTTCCAGTGGAGCCGCTCAGTAGACAACAGATCAGGCAGGTGCCAGGTCCTCCAGATGTGAAGGTGTGTACCTGTGTGCACAGGATAGAAATAGAGAAGTTAGAGAGATAAGTTGCTATGAATTGTTCATACACTCTTAGAAATAAGGGTCCCAAAAGGGTTCCCTCTGAAGGCTGAGAGTCTGCCCAGAACAATTTCCTTCAGAGGAACCCTTTAATGAAGAAAGGGGTATTCAAAGCCCGGTTTCCACCAAGCAATACAGTACAGTACAATTCAGTTCGGTATGCTTTTTTTCCATTTCCACTGTGAAAAGTTGTGAGTGGAACCAATGGAACAGTTCCGTACCATCCCCATTTTTTTACTTAAGTTTTAAATCTCTCTCTTGGATGACACACACTTAAAAATATAGATTAATTTCGACCGGATTATGTGAACATTTACTCAACATGGCAAGAAAAAGTTGTTAGTCATGGACTCAACCTCAAAAAAAGTCCTCATTGTGTATGGATCACATTCAATGCGTTTCAGTTTTCTGCCGATACTTGCTGCCTATAGGTTCTTCTGACCCTTTTATGTAGTCATTTTCTTCTGTATTCAATTTATGGAGTGTATAGATTTATCACTTCCTGTCCTCCATCTGCATTTTGCACACATAATAGACACGTGATTGCAAACAAAACCTCTTATAGCAGTTTCTTGGTGGATGCTTTCACAGATGGCTCTAGGTATAACCCTTCATGTTGGGTTCTAACCTTTATAAAATGTTCTGCCAGTACCCAAAAAGGGTTCTCCTATCGAGACAAACGAGGAGATCCTCTGTGCTTCTAGTGAGCACCTTTATTTCTAAGAGTGCAGATGTTCGGTTTTGTGATCAGACATATGATCCAAGAGGACTGAAGCATGCTGCTGTATGACCACTATTTTACCTCTGTGTGAATCAGCTCAGTCAGTAAACAGATCAGTCAAGTTGGCAGCTGCAACAAACACAAAGACACAGATGTTAGTGAATGAATTATATTATATACAAATATGTCAAAGCAGTAGGTGGGGGTGTTACATCTCGCACTACTCCAGATAGGTCTTCTGTTTCTGAATGAATGTTTATTTGACCTATTACCATCATTAGAGAGGCACGAGGTGCACGTGTTTCGTCCATCAGCACACATGAATAGATGTAGCAGAAAGGCGGTGACAAGCCGATACACTGACTCGCTCTCTTATTACAGCTGTGAGGCCCTAAAGGGGAGAAGAGATGAAACATGAAAGCACAAAGCTAGCTGTGCTTTTGTGTTAGAGTTAGGTTCCACTGAAGAAAATGACTGTAGGTTTTTATTTGTAGTATGTTTTTCTCCGTCTGAGCTTGACTGTCAACATTACATCCATTGTTCATAATAGATGCGGATTAGGAATTCTTTTTTTCTTTCCGATGTTTTGAGTCTGTTTCACATTGCATTAACGTCACACTAATGCTCGGGATGGCTACAGCTGAATTAGTAATGAAATGCTCTGCTAGTGTCAGAGAACACAGTAAGCTCCCTGCATAGCACAGCTGCAGCTCTGCTTTCATGGAAGACCTTGTAATAAGAAAATGTATCACATGTTTTAAAGCATGAGATATTACTGCAAAAGCAGATGTCATTTAAAACTTTGGTGTTCCTTCATTACAACAAATCTGTGTATTGAAAGCTGATAGGATATTTAAACACATTATATGGCTGATTTTAAATCCCACGCTGCCTTAATTGTGTTGTGTTGATACCCTGCGGGATGGGAGTCCTTTGGAGGGCTTGGATAATGGTTCAACCCATGAATAATTGCATTGTCTCATTATTGTCTGTAGAGGAATATAGCTATTGACTTAATTTAAGTATATAAGCTGACCTCATCCTACTATCTCTACATCTTGTGTTATTATCTAAATTTAGCTTTTCTTTTAATTTGCATGCCTTTTAATACATTTTACATAAAATGTATTATTCAGGCAGACATTTTCATGAATTTTCTCTTAATAAAGTGCGAGTTCCCCCCATGTAGGTTCCGTTTGCCAATATAGTTTAACATTTGCGTGAGTCGATTGTAAAAGAGCATTCTCACCTCACCGCTGTGCTCCCTCTGGCTGCCAAAATCCCTGTCAGATTGGCTCAAAGCAATATTGTAATAACTGCTTTCCCATATTTCCCAATGTAAATCTACAGCTAAAGAAGAGAGAACACAATTTCTGCTTGGAGCCCCATGCTTTTAATATGTTCCTGCAGGATATCAGATCAAATCAGATTTATGCAGTGCATCATACCAAACTGGCTCCTTACAAAGGTCTTTATATAACAGCAAAATGTCATGAAAATCTACTTAAATCAAGAGAAAATAAAAAGAACAATTGCACAACAACATTTGTAATATGAGGGATTTGCATGCCATGGGTAAATAATACATGTGAATGTGAATGTGAATGACATACTGAGAAGTGGAGACCTGAAACAATAAAGGCAGACCTGGCTGCCCAGACTCTCAAAGAGGAACAGATAGAGGGGATGATGAGGTGATTCAGGGTTAAAACTGAACTCTGTGCTGGTTAAGTGAGGCTGACCTTCAATAGTGATTTCTTGTCTATTATCCTGCTTTTGATATTGCCTTGTTTTAAGAAATTGGAGGGGTGCTTCAATGACAATTTGGATTTTCTGAATTTAGAGAAAATGCACAACCAATGCACATTTTAACTGCATAGTGTTACTGGTTTTTTTTTAAGCCCAATTCATTTTATATTCTTCCACATTTTTATTTGCATGTAAGAGAAAGAGGACATTTTGTTTTAAAAATGAAAAAAGAAGAGGACCCAAAACTGTACCCTGGGGGATGCCAAAGTAAAATATCCACACCTACTCCAGCAAAGTGTGATACCTTTGAGTGGACAACTCTCAGAACAAGTAAACAAGAACCAATAATACAAACAGATATCTGACAGATAGTGGTTAATGGTTACCGGTTGCCTTCATTAGACCCATTTCTCTGCTTATAGGATAGTGTGGATGTGTGGTAATTTGGATTGACAAAAGTTTGTGCTTCCAGCAGATAA